TCTAAAAATACTGTGCACTTTAGAACTGGAATAACAAAAGTGTAAGAGGTCAGTGGCATGCCGCCTGGAGCCAAGTGGTCTCTCTGCTGGAATAGTTGTGTTCTGTTCTTTGGAAAAAATCTTCTGCCACGCCTTGATGTTAGAGAGAGAGGTGCCAAAACACTTTTGGAAGACAAAGGATTGGTTATAGGCTCAATAGGTCAATTTATCTTTGCAGGGCTGCACCATCCTGATACCCTGCCCTAACCATACCAGATGTTCCGGGCATGTTGTACTTGCCTATGGGCCCAAGGCTTGGCCCCAGTCTTATGGACTCCTCAGCTGAGGCTACTCCTCTACGTCAGCTGCTTGCCCCATTCTTCCCTGCATGGGTCCTAAATCAGCCACTTCTCCATGCTAATCCTGCCCTTAACTTTCAGGGCTGGGATGGATTTACCCCTCTCTGGGGGGATATCTTGTCCCTACTTCTTTTTCCCTTCTAGGGTCCTGAAGAAGTTACCTTCACCCCTCATCAGGGAGTTCATCAGGATTGAACCCCCTGATGGGGCAGTCTTTTCCATCTTGTCACTGGTTTCTACTAGGTAAGTTAGGCAATGGGACTCTCCGCTGAGCTACAGGGTCGGTCCCTCCTTGTCTCGGCTTTCACTGTCCTCTCTGCTTCTTTGCTCTTCTTTTCTTCCCAGGACCAACCCCAGACACTTCCTCAGCATCTCTTTAAATTTCCTTCCTAGCTGGCTGTGTCTGCTGTGGCAGCATCTGATTTCCTGCCTCCCTGACCCAGCTGTTTTCCCTTTTAACTTTTCAGCATGGCTTTTTCCTCTCCTTTGGCCACATTGTTTCCCCTGTCTTAGGCTCAAACGTGGCAGTTGAGCTTGCTACAGCAGCCTTTGAACTGCCGCGGCCCCAGCTGGTTCCTTTAATCAGTCAGGGTGCGGTGTCTTTTCTGCCCCAGCTCACCACAGTTTCCTCGGCATCTCCCAGTAAATTCCCTTGCTTTGTTTTACTCCTTGTGCTCCTGTGGCAGGGTGCTTCAGCCACCCTGTCACAAAAAGTAAAAATGTTTGATTTTTTTCCCTTACAACAAGAGTTAGAAAATTTTGGTGTATTCTAAATTTCAAGGATAGGAACAGAAATTACACGGAAACTGGTATAAGTGAATAGGAAACCAGTTCAAATCTGTAACACAACAGAATTTCAGTGCATATAAGCTGCTTTCAAAATGGTTAAAACCAGTTTAAGATAAACCTGGATGGATGTATTATCAGACCTAACTGATTTAGGTTAAATCAGTTTATTGAACTTCTGTCCCAGGTATACTCCAGATTCAAGCTGTCTGCTCCAGCCAAGCAGGGTGGCGTGCTCTATTGCCACACCCACCCAGGCTTCTGGCCTGACCCACTGCAGGCATGTGGTTGCATTTCTGGAATCAAAAGTGAACATTGGTTCACTTGCTTATCAGTTCAATCTAGGCAGCTTAGACTAACCTGTGAAGATTAAATCAATTCAGTCTCAGGTTTTCTGACTGTCTGTACTTAGCCCAAGGGCTTCTTATAGTTAAGGGAACACAGTAAGAGGGGACAGAGTATAAAATAATGAATAGCCTGGAAAGTTGATGAGGAATTTCCCTTCTCCCTTTCTCAGAACCCAAGAACAAAAGGTACATCCAAAGAAATTCAGAGATGGGAAATCCAAAACCAGTTAAAGGAAATATTTTTTCAAACAGTGTGTGATTAAACTATGACATTTTCCACAAAGTGGCTGAAGAAATAAGCCAAGAGTTATAAAAAGGGATTGAACATTTATAAAGCTATCAGGAAATTCCAAAAGTATCTAAACAATAATATACATTTTTATAAGGGATATTAACTCCTCTGCTTCATGATTTAAGCCAATCTTTCATTCTTAGGGTCCCCCCATCCCCCTACATGTTATTATGCAATTAACTAGTTCACTGCACAAAAAAATTAAACTGGCTTCATGTGCAAATTAACTACGGCACCTTAAAAAGTTCCAACCAGCTATAAAGTAATTGCTCACAAATGTGTAATAGCTTTATACCCCTGTGACGGCGACGGGCCGCCGTCATGGGTGCAGGCGGAGGATAGGCAGGATAGGGGGGCAACAACACCCCCTCAAGAAAGCCACGGGCCGGGCTACTCACCCCCGGGAGGGACGGCGGCGTTGGAGCTGGGACCGCAGCAGCAGACGCGGCCGCCATTACGCTGGCTGTTTCCACAGCTGTTCCCAACAA